TATTTTTAGTTTAATTTTCACATAACCAGAGTACCCCACTTTTCTTTTTTTTTTTTTTTAAAAACTAACTACCGATTTTAGTTTGTGATTTTAAAAAAGAACGCCCAATCATGTGTTGCATGTGTATATTGTACATTTCATTTAAAATGAAAAGAGCAGCCTAAGACAAACCTTCACCACAGAACATCGTCAGGTCCTATATTGCGTTATAACTCTGTGATATCAAAGAAATCTGGATGGGACTGTGAGGACATTTTTAAGTGTTACCGGGTACCGGTAATTCCATCTTACCAATGCACGTATCTACAAAAGTACTGATTATGTACTTTTCATTTAAAATTAATCGGATTTATTTGATAGATTTATTGTAAGGGGTCGTTCGTAAATTACGTCACGATCAGGTTGGAGGGGGGTGGGCGAGAATTTTTGATATTTTGTGACAGGGGGATTGGTGGGGGGGGGGGATGTGACGTAACAAAAAAAATGAAATCTTAAAGTTTCTAATTTTGAAAAATCTTTATTGAATTAATTTTAAAAATATTAATTGAGGTCGAAATTATCTCAGGTATTACAGGCATTACGAAACTCAGTCGCGCACACCTTCTGCACATATCGAAAAATGACGCAAAAAACTGTTGTGGCCATTTTACATTCGGTTCTTGGATGATTTCGTTATTTTGCGTTTTACGTCACAGTTTTCACATAATACAACATCTTAATCCATTATGGGAAAATGTTCAGTTCAAGAATAAAATCTTAGTTTAGTTATGAAAATTTTATGTATGTTTTGAATTTTTTTAAAGGTGTGAATAGGTCATATTTTGCGTGACGTAATTTACCAACGACCCCTGCCCCTTAGTTGTGTATGGGGGGGGGGGGCATAGTTACTGTTCAATTGTTCATCATCAACATCTTGATCTTTGAACAAATTGAAAAATAAACACTTAAGCAAATAGGTCACTCTAGTTTGTTGTCCTTTGACTGAATACGTATAGATTGTTGTGGTCTGCTGTTGGTGTGTCAAATAATAAAGACTTAAGTCCTCGAGGGCTTGGTACCGTAACAAATGTGATGTGTTACTTTGTGATGTTATTGTTTGCAGAACAATATTCAAATGTTCAAGTGTAGTGCACCCCCTCCCCCACGGGGGGGGGGGTGGGGTGGTTTACAAGTCTGTAGTGGCTTGCTGATTAAATAGGCGCTGCCACCGACCCCCTGGCGCTACCGGGAGGAACCAACCAACCATTGCGTGAGCCTGCATCGGCAGACGCATGGTATCTGCCGAAGATGGTAGCATCTAAAGGGCTGACAGCTGGGGAAAACTTGCAGCTGGAGATAAAACGGCAGAAACAGGGTAGAGATCATGAATACATTATGAGACATGAGGTGGTTAGTGGCAATCTCATGCCGATGATGCTTTTCACACGACGATAGAGGAAGCCGTTTCTAGGCAACCGTTTCGTCACAGCTGCTTGTAAAATTAGTTTAGTTTCGAGGTAGAAACCCACTGTAGAAATCCCTGTTAGAGGGCGTCTGACGCCTCCTCGGGATGAAAGATTTGAGGACGTAAATTTGCCATCCCGACTCCTGGGAAAGTCGACTGCCAACGCTGTGATGTCCTTGGGCTGGAGTGGCCGCCGTTAGTACCCGTTCGAGTGGATGCTGGTGGTAGCATTTCTGGAGAAGGGAGATCTCCAACGTCCCACTTCGCGGCCCGATTCATGGGCTTAAAAAGTGTGTGTGTTGGGGGGGGGTGCTTTAAGGAGGGCATAAAGAGCTTGGTACTTTCTCGACGGCTCGCTGACGCCATTTCCTAACGTACATTTTCAGTGTAAGTGTACCGGTAACAAAATGTAGTTTTGTAAGTACCGTACAATAACACTAAAGTGCTGTGTAGAGCTGAGGTATGTGTACCATAATCTGGTAATAACTGATTTATTTATACTCAACACCATGATGATTCTGTCAAAAACTCCTGGGATGTTCTTGTGTGTTAAATATAATGAGACAGGGGCAGCTTTCAAAGAAGCTATAAATGGCCACGGCATGTTTTTTGTGAAAATGAAATTATGAAAATGTCATCAGAGTGTCACCAAGGCCACGAGCTTTGGAATAACATCCTTAAAAAAAATCAGTGATGAGGTGGGAAGGATGTTTGATTACCCTACAAGAAAAGATAAATCATGAGCTTTCTTACTTCATGCCTCTGGTACTACGGTATCTAGACCAGGGGTAGCTAACCTGCTGCAATAAATATTGTGGCCCCTCCTTCCGGCTGTATCACAAATGAACTTCTTTCTTCATACAGTTAGCGATTATTTTCATTAACAAAATGCATATTTAATTTTAAAAAGCACATGTAGCACTATTTGTGACGGCATGCAACATTTCAGTGCACCTGCCCCTCTTTTGTGACAGCATGCAACATTTCAGTGCACCTGCCCCTCTTTTAGAGACATGCGACATTTCAGTGCACCTGCCCCTCTTTTAGAGACATGCGACATTTCAGTGCACCTGCCCCTCTTGTGACGGCATGCAACATTTCAGTGCACCTGCCCCTCTTTTGTGACAGCATGCAACATTTCAGTGCACCTGCCCCTCTTTTGTGACAGCATGCAACATTTCAGTCCACCTGCACCTCTTTTGTGACAGCATGCAACATTTCAGTCCACCTGCCCCTCTTTTGTGACAGCATGCAACATTTCAGTCCACCTGCCCCTCTTTTGGACAGACCTTTTAAAAAAAGATTAGTCATATTAAATAAACATTTTAAAACAATTACCACTGTTTAGCAACTACTTAAAATAATGGATTTATAGAATAAAGAGTCAGTTAATGGAAACCTATATCTCCTTTATTATTTCTTCTGGTGTTCTCCTGGTAAGTAGAGAATGATGCAAAACTAAATTCAGGTGTGTGGTAAATTTGTCAGTGGTGTTCTCAATTTCTAACCCCCCCCCCCTTCACTGATATCATTACCCAATCCTATCACAATACGCAATAAATATTACGCAATATTTACTGACACTGTGTGTATAGTATACCGGTAGTAAAGAGTTCTAATTTGACATCAATCTCTCCAGTTCAGTTATGTGTGTGGCAGCCCGAGTAGTTGCTATCCGATATTTACCAAGAATAAATAAATAAACCTGCACAGCATTTATTCGCTATTTACTAGTAAAGAGTTCTAATTTGACATCAATCTCTCCAGTTCAGTTATGTGTGTGGCAGCCCGAGTAGTTGCTATCCGATATTTACCAAGAATAAATAAATAAACCTGCACAGCATTTATTCGCTATTTACTCTATTTGCTTTATTAGGTTGAATGGATTGCAACCTGCAAAGAGTTGACTTGCAATCAAAGCGGCCCCTGGAGCTATTTAGGTTGGCTACCCCTGATCTAAACCTTCAACAAACACCAAAAGAAAATGAATAAAATATAGCAAAGATAATGCAGCTATTTACAGTTTTAATAGGGTGATGATTCTTTTTTCTTTTCTTTTTTTTTTTTTACAAATGAATGACTAAAAACATAGAATAAAACAAGACTATCTTTTCTTGAAGCCATATTTCTTTCTTTCATAAAACAAATCCGTTTTGGCACTACCAAGGTTGACAATCTTTGGACATCCGTCTCTCTGGAAAAACAGAATACAACTGACATTAAACCATTGAGTGTAATATAAACAATTGCAGTAGATTAGACTGGTATAGCTTATATTTAAAAACAGCTAAACACTCAGCAGAAGTATAACGCCCATTCATAATTACTATACATAAATTAAAACCTTATTATTTAAAAAAAGATTTGGTTTAGACATCTATTTTTTTGTTTAAGTGACACTGGAAGTGGAAGCAACTGCAAAATGATGTAAAGGCTATTAGAAGGTGGACCTGCATATATGAACAATAGTGTACAATTACAACTACTCTGGTCGACTGGGTCACTCTAGCCACCAAAAAAAAGACAAAATGTAAAAAAATTTAATACGCTGGCCCAAGCGATGTTACAAAATTGTCAATTTTCACACGAACAGTGTCTAATAACATACATTTTTTTCAGGAAAAAAACCCACTAAAAGTAGGGAAAACACTATATACTTTTTAATATAATAGCTTACTATATATATAAGAATGAGCTAGGCTGAGCATAACGCCAAATAAACTATTTAAATATGTTCGGATTCTTAAAAACAATGATAGTGATTTTCAAATATTTTTAGGAAATCTAAATTTAAAATGCGCAAAAAATAAAATATATCCACTTTATTTTAGTAAATGTTTAAATACTATTATTATAAATTACAAATACATTTAAATAAAAAAAATTAAAGGAAATATTTTAAGTATTTTATTTGAGTTTGAAAGTTATGAAAAAATTTTTATTGAAGAATTACATCGTAATCGCATTTATTGGAAAAACCCAAACAGCTGTTGCTTTTAGAGCGTTCTTAATAATGCAAAATAAAATTAAAATTAATTTATTTTAAATAAGCACACTAATGACATCCTTGCGTGAATAGCCTATTTTAGTCAAAGCTCTACTTTTCTTTGATTTAACAACCGGACGTCACTTGATTGCTGTTTAAATTGTTAATAAATACAACAAATTTTAGCTTTGTATTTTTAACATTTAATAAGATTATATATTATTTTTTTTGCATTCCAAAAATATATCTCTATCAAATTTATAACATACCGGTAATAAAAAGTTAACCGCTAAGTATACTAATACTTTTAATAAGAATATGCTGTTTACTTTAAGTCAATTAGTTCAGCAAAACGTCATAGCTAAATGGGATTCATTAGTGCATGCATCACTAAACAAATAAGAACAAAGCACACGAAGTGCAAAAAATGTGTAATAGCGTGTAGGGGGCTACAATCTCATGGATGATTTTTTGTCGAATTTGTTTTTTTCTTTATACTTTCACTTTTCCCTAAGCAGCACAAGATACGCCTCAGAATAAAGGCATGAATTCGATAATTAATTAACCTTCTTGATAATTAATTAACCTTCATAGTTACAGTACCGGTATATAAATATTTGGGGTATGAAACAGGATGTTTACATTTTTACATGATGACAATACCTTTAAATCCTATGATATTACAGTTGTGTAAAAGAGGTTTTACTCTCTTTTAACAAATAAACTTATGTTTTCACAATTAAGAAAATCAATGGCGTTAACAAAACTTGGGTACATTTAAATAAGTATGCCCGTGAATATTAAAACCCAATCATTTTACACACATGAAAATTTATATTTGAAAAATAGAGATAGGTTAAGACTTTCTTTCATAAAATATTTTTATTTTTTTACTTTGCAAAAAGTAACGTGGGTGTATTATGAAATTAATAACATTTCTGTAAAAAAGACACTAAAGGCTTTTACAGATGGGATGATGGTTACAAGATTTTTCTTTTTCCACAATTTTTTAGGGGAAATTTTTTTTAGTTCAGGGCCATGAAATGTAGCAGGGTAGGTCCAACATTTCACAATTTAAAATTTAAAAACACATGACATCTAAAGTATTTCTCTAGCGTATAAATATTAGTGATCTTTTAGGTTTGGTAATTTAAGGTCATGTTTAGAGAAAAAAAGTGTAGCTTAGCAGTACAAAAAGGGGTTGAGTAGGCTTCGAATATATAGCAGAAAACGAGTTCTTAAAAATTTTAATGTTAGAAACGTAAACATCATTACGAAGTTACTTCTTAAAATAAGGAATTGGAATGAGTTTTTGCAATAGCAGGTAGAAATAATCGCAAATTGCCTGCTATTATTACATCGATAACATTGGATATTTTTTAGTTGGCAGAGGCTCTGGTCCACAATATGGGACTATGTTGGCAGAGGCTCTGGTCCACAATATGAGACTATGTTGGCAGAGGCTCTGGTCCACAATATGAGACTATGTTGACAGAGGCTCTGGTCCACAATATGAGACTATGGTCCACAATATGAGACTAAGTTGGCAGAGGCTCTGGTCCACAATATGAGACTATTTTGGCAGCGGCTCTGGTCCACAATATGAGACTATGTTGGCAGAGGCTCTGGTCCACAATATGGGACTATGTTGCCAGCGGCTCACCTGTGCTAGCTTTGTCCCATTGGAGTTATTACATTTCACAATTAAACATAACCCAATAAAAGAATAACTTTTGGACAACTAAAAGTGGTTTCCTTTGATGCACCACATTAACTAATATAAAATCAGAAATGAGGCCTTGGAAATTAAATTATTTTTTCTGCGTTTTCAGCCAGCTGAAATGGTAGACTACAAAGGGGAAAAGAAAAGATTTTAAGAAAGTTATTATGCAATAAAGGTTGAATAAGTTTAATTTGAAACGTCTCTTTAATATGTGCCCTGTTTTATAGTACCAATATTGCCATTTTAAAAAAAAACATCATGAATGGTTTGTTGGTTTTTTGCATTTTAATTAAAAAAAGGCGTGGGGCCTGTGCTACATTTAATACCGGTACAGGAAGGTGGGGTGATGACAGAACCACAAAACTTCCAATATATACTTAAACATATCTTTTCAGTAGATGAAAAATACATTTTTATACCCCCCTCCTCTAGCCCCCTCTCATTTTAATTACTCAACAGACTAATAAGATATAAAAAGATATAAAAATCTATGAGATGCAATTTGTATGTGTAAAATATCCATAAACAACAAACATATTGACAAGAGATGAAACATTTGCCACTCCCTACATCTTTTTCCATTATTGTGCACTCTTTACAGTAGTATGCATCAGATACACCTGGACCTCCACAAATGACACAACGTCCCTGATAGGATCCATAGTTGCATTCATCACAAATCCTTACAAGAGTACAGGGTCGTACATATGAGTCACAAATGACACACTTTCCATCACCTGTAAAGAAGAATGAATGGTAAAATCTACCGTGTAATCTACAACTACAAGTAATAATGTAAAATGCTAATTGTAATTATATTTATTTAAAATACACAAATACAATTTCTTCAACAACTAACTGACAGTAACTTGATATACAATCGAGAACAGAAAAGTATGTCAACTCCTCAATACATAAAAATCACTGGATTTATTTTAATTTTTGAAAGAATTCAAATTCGTGATAAGGCTACATAAATATTACAATTGCGAAGACATACAATTTTTAACTATGAGCAGAACATCTGCAATGAAGAAATCAATTACTAAGTTTAAAAAATGATACAGTAAAGCTTCTACAGACAAAGTTGACATTCATTTAATTATATGAATTAATATACAGTATTAATTTTAGGCTACTCACATTTTTCACAAAGTCTACCGATTGCTGAAGTAAAAAAAATAATATGATTACATCAGCGCTATGCAAAAAAAAACCCTCAAAATTATGCAATGATTCACCCACCACTTCTTCAAAATAAAAAAGAATATTTTAAAACATCTTAGAGCCTTTTTTGATTCAAGAATAAATTAAAACACTTTTGACATCAGGGTATTAGAGGCAAGTTATCTAGTCTTTACAATGCATATTACTGAAGATTTCAGAATATTCAATGGCTGAACCTCTAATTTTGTCACTAAGGCAGTCTTTAAGAGATACATAATTGAAAAAAATTCTGTTTCCCAGATGACTGAAATTTTAGGGGTAATTATTGTTTTAGGGATAATTATTGTTTTAAGGATGATCATGATGTTTTCAATTATTTTAGATAACCATGTTGATGTGTGGCCTTATGAATGAGAGCTGAAATAAGGTTGGTGGCAGAATAAGTTTGGACAAATGAAGACCATCATTTCATATGCAGTATCTAAAAAGTCTTCATGTGACTGGCAGAGGCAATATAGATGGTAAAAAGTATGGAGTTGCTTCATTTAATGATAAATACAATAAGCAACCATGGCTGTCAGAGGTGAATAATCAGTTTTCTTTTAAGAGAAGGGTAATGTTCAGAAAGTTGAACTAATTCTCCGAGATTTAAGAAGCAAATTAAATAGATGGATGGAATGAGTTTAGAAAATTAATTTGTTGGAGTCTAATTAATGTTAATGAAGCCAATAATGTTACTGGCATATCATTTTAGGATAAAAAAAGTGATCCATAAAAAGCAAGGTCAGTTATGGTGTCGGGTCAAACAAGTCAGAGATGTGTCTTAAAGTGTGCCAAGCCAGGTGACAAATGATACCAATACAATTATCATATTATAGAATGGCTTGCAAGGCACTCTCTTTTAGTATTTTTGAAGTACACAATGGATTCCAACTGCAGTGTTCAAACTCACTAACTTCAATTAGGTAGCTGAAAAAATTATAAATGAAAAAGCACCAACGTCCAAAAACTAAAAACGCACTACATTTCCCATACAAATTTTGAAGTAGCCTCCCTTGAGTACCTTGCTTTACCTAAGTGAAAGTGCCTTTACAATGTATTTGTAATTGCATTAGAGTCATTAAAATTTTAATGTTAAAATTATAACTTTTAATACCTAGAATTAATCCTAAAAATAAAAATTGTACCAAATTATCATTTAAACATGAGTTTAAACACGTGACACGATTAGTTGCTTTTGGGTCACTAAATGTGGATCCATAATAAAAAAAAAGTACAAATTAACTCAAAATTTTATTTCTCAAAAAGTACTAAAGCTAGAAAGATACACCTGAACTCTGGTTCATTTCAGGTCATTGAGACTTCATGCCAAATATCTAGATGGATACAATGAAGTAGCTACGTTCACAACAAATAAAATTTTATTTCTCAAAAAGTACTAAAGCTAGAAAGATACACCTGAACTCTGGTTCATTTCAGGTCATTGAGACTTCATGCCAAATATCTAGATGGATACAATGAAGTAGCTACGTTCACAACAAAATTTATGGACAGGCAGAAATTTGTTCATTAAATTTTAACATTTTTGTCCCATTTTCGTATCTGTTGGGATACCAGCACAATCTCTCCCTTTCCCCTCCCCATTTTATGAAACAATTTTTTTACACAGCTGCCACCTTGGTTGTAATGATCCATCAAGAGTCATGGCAAGCAAGGTGGCAGACGTGGAAAACGTCATGACGCTGTTAGTGTAATTTTACGAAAAGGTCTACTAATTAATAGGACTACTATACTTAGTACTTAGACTATATTATTTATGGATTTAGTAATTTAGTAATATTCAGACTCAAGACTAATCACATTCATCAGTCTACGTAAGTTTGTAAAAAATAAATAAAAAAAATAAAAAAATTAGTTATGGTGTATGTATTAGTTATATAGAGCAAATTTCAAATAATTAAAAAATATAAACAGAATCAACTTTCTAGCTTTGGTACTTTTAGAACTATGAATTTTTAAAGTGCGAGTTCATTTGGTATTTTATACTATGACGAAATCTACACATCTTGTGACCAATGTTTCCTTAATCTATCTCACAGATGCCGCGCAACAGTTTTGGGTATCCCCGCAGCAAATTTATGTGTGTGTGTTTGTGGGCTGTAACAATTTTCACACAAAAAATAGATGCTGTAAAATTTAGGCAAATTCTTGCAGATATGAGGGAAACAATGCACGGCTAGTTCCAAATTGTCTCAACTTTAGCTTCGCTCTCATCCACATGTTTTCGATGTTTTGGGTATGCACTTCGCTGTCATCTGGATCCACGAATTTACAAGTTGTGAACAACAACAGAATGCTTGTGCATTTCATGTTCGATTTGATCTATGTGTGCGTATGCAGCCCAGCCATTGGAAACGATGTGTGTCCCTGGCCAGATGTGAGCTTCTATACAGGCTTGTAGTGTGTCTGCGCGCCTGTCTGGCACTTCCAATAAGAAGCACTTGCCACTTCCGTGCTCGACCCCCACCGAAGTCCAAGTGGCCATCCCGCAACTGACCACAGTGATATTTCCTGTGGAAATATTTAGTTTCATCTATCTCAACAATTATAGGCTCTCTATTTACTTCTATTTCATCAATTTCGGTCGCATTGCTCTCAAGTTCCACACTCCTCTCACATGTAGCTGCACCAATCAATTACAAGTTTTTTGGCAACAGCTGCCTCATGTATCTGCATCTGTGGCATATCATATGACCAACAATACACCATGGTGACAATTTGTTGTAATGATAAGTGACTGCGTGAAAAGAAAGAATTGTGTCGCACAGATAAGCGGTACCCACAACGGTCACTTGGCCGTCTCCTACCGTCAATTCCCTGCTTGTACCATTTTAATGTGCACGGTTGATTGCATATTCCACATGATGCTGAGTTGCGAATCAAATTGCGGCAGGCATACCACTGTAACTGTAATTTCAAATCAGGTTGTTGAAAGTGTGGTGAAAGCGTCAACAATCGCCATACTTCATTTAACATGTCATTTTTACTCTGTATTTCGTTAGGTGGTACAATAGTCGTTGACGCTTGTGGCCTTCCTGCCATTTTGGATTTATATCACAGAACGGTTGTTATGGTATGTATCACTTAAACTAGTGTCCTTAGTGTCTCCAAACCTCCACCTTATATCTACCTCTTGTGTGACTTAAACCTCTACTAGATAGCCATCCAATGGTCATTGAACTCCTACATCATTAAAGAAACCATTCCCCGACCCGATCCTTTCCCCCCCCCCCCCCTCACATCCATTCTATGTCCCTACCAAGCTATTAGCATCTATCATGTTGAGACATTTTCCATTACTGATAATTAATCTAACCCTACCTATGGTCTTCGTGAACATTCCACTTCCACCTGCAAACTTAAAACTTGTTAATCCAAAACATTTGTGATACCTGCTCCCACACTGTCTACCATAGAGTCCCCCTTTTCTCCAAACTATCATGAACTATGTCTTCCCTGTACTACCATAAACTCTGCTGATGTCAGGCTATCAATTCCCTCGTCTATTGTACCTTTGTGCGTTACCTACACCCATCGCTCCCGTCTCCAGCATGGTCATTTGTGACAATTTAAATTTCCTGTTGTCTGCTTAAAGTAGTTCTGGTATGGTAGTGGATCCAAGTAGGATGTAATTACCGACGCTATGTGGGAGTTTTACCCGTGACGCGAACAGCGGAATTGGGTCACATTTTTGGAGATGCGTTCCATTATTTTAAAAAAGGACAAACGAAATCGTAATTTAAAAATTCATAACTTTAAAACTTAGTAATTCAAACTCAAACTAAAAGTCTCAATATTAAAGTAAAGTCAACTCAAACATTATAATTTATAATTATCCATTATAACATTTTTAGGGATGAACAATCCTTTTAAAGATATCTACAACTAAAATCTTAACATTTATTAATTTGTACATTGTTAACGAAAAATGTAAGGGATCTAAATTAAAATAATTCTTACCAACTCCGGGTTGTTTTCGACAGAAAATTAAATCTGGATGATGCTTCGCCATGTTTTTTGTGTGCACTGTCAGGGCTGCCACTCACTTTTTTTAAATTTCCCAAGATTTGGTGAGCAAATTTCCCAAGATCATAAAAACATATAAGAGTTTTTTTTTAAAAGGGGGTTTTCAATGTAGTTAATGTAATAATAGATTGAATCTATGCCCCTGAAAAACATGGTACATTAATTGACTGAAATTTATTGAAAAGGTCATTTAAAAAATGTTTATCACATAAAAAAACAAAACAATTTGTTTAAAAAAATAACTTATAATCCAAAATATCAATACCCACTGGAGTTAGGCTACTAAATATTACCTCCGAATTCTCTGGTAAAAATATCATCTACAATACATGTGTAATAGAAGTCACTTGGAAAAAAAGCTTACAAGGCTAATCAACATAGAATTCCTTTTACAAAGGCAAGAGGTTCTTCATCAAAAAATGATTTTTATTATTGTAAATCTTTTGATTAGAAGTGGGGTTTGCAAAGCAATTAAGCAAAAATTATTAATAATAATTGTAGTTAAAATGGATTGATATTAATATTATGATGAAAACAATAAGTATTTTTT